AGTTCGTCTTGTCTGGGCGCCGCCATTTTGTTTGAAACAAATGCAAGTGATACAAGAGGTGGAATCTTATTGGTCCATAGGGGAGGCGTAAAAGGTACATACCTCATAACAGCCACTGGTGGCGCTACAATTGAGCCCAGGAATTTCAGCCTAGTTCGGCAAGGGTGAAAACTGGACTTTAAAAGTCAGTTAACTCTCTTGCCTCGGGAAGATGTGTCTATCGGTGATCGAGTCAGAATTAACCATCGGGAATCTGGACAATTACTTGGATAATTTTCATTATTTTTAAAACTAATAATCTGAGATAACCGAAAATGAGTGTCTGACAGGGACGTAGCTGGGGCATTTTAAACATTTTGGCACCTTTGGCTATATATATTGCGGTTTGGTATCCTTTGCCCAATTTAAAACAGTTGGATTTGGCCGACAAATGTCCAAATTGTTACCTTCTTTCATTTTGTCACTGTGTCGACATCTGACTGCACTTCGTAACGTTGTGAGTAGCTGCCCTTTAACAAAGGGCAATTACAATAAATGGGCGGACCAATGGATTGCCACGAAAGGCAAATATAAAAATAGGTGCAAGTATTTGTTATTTGGCCTATATGTAGTAACACCACTGTCTAAAACACACAGGATTCAGCTCGAACTATATATCACCAGTTCGACTGACTAATCGCTGACCTTCCCACGCAATAAAATTTTACGCACACATTCCAGGAAAACTTAATGAGATGATCACCAGTGTCTGTTTGGAAACAGCTCATATCCTGTATAAGGAATAAACGCTATTTATTTAGAGAGCTTTGTGTAGTGCTAACAGGAGACATTTAGCATCCCAAACCGCACAAGCGTGATACATAATCAACTTACATTTTGGCTTTCCTTGTGAGTTGTTATGTTTATTTGATCCATTAACCTATTAGAATATTGAGTCCTACTCATATAAACATACACTTTATCAATTAAACTCAATTTATTATTTATATGTGAATACTTACACAGAATGATGTTAACGTACTGTCGGATATGCTGGAAAAATGATTTTCTAGCTTTAGTAAATAAATACGAGCCATAGGGCTATGAAAAAACACATATATCAAAATAACGCAAATGGACCTTATCTAGCCTATCCTAGCTGAAACTGTTGGTGGCCTTAAAATGTACTTTTACAAATAAAAAGATTGTAAACTTAGAAAGTATTCGTGTGTTGTAATGCAGGTGTGAAACGGCCTATAACCTCACACCGGCCAGTGCATTCTCACAGGCGCAAATGTCACCTGAGTTGGGGGTGGTCTCAAAATATTGCTGTTATTGTACTTAATTGATATGTGCGTTGATGGGGTAGCAATTTAGAATATGTACTGCATTATATTTGCTTGGAAAAATGATAGGATAGTTAAAAGCTATAACGGGTTGAGTATTGGGAGGTTGCAGTTCTTTAATCAAGAAGTATTTCTTGTTCTACAGATGATTTCTTCAGGTTGCATCTGACTCCGCTGATGACGTATGTGAATCTGTACTATCACCCATAGGTATGATACTGGTTCAACAAGGCTGATATCTGGCAAAGACTGCATTGATCCTCCCTTTTACATGTGTGAGTACGAATGTTGTGTTATGTCTTGCCACGAACCCTTTACAGTTACTAGGATAGGCACAATAGGGTTAAGCTCACAATGTCTGACTGGCGTATGTAAGACAACATAGCCATGTTATGCCGCCAGGACATATGTCTTGACTTTACTGGTTTCTTATTCAGGTTAATTTTCTCCATGAGTTGAATTTTCGTTTCAGATGGTCTGAAGTCGACATTGCAAGATATTCCTGCATAACCACCTTCAGACTACTCATGGTTGGCGCGACAGTATCTGGTTCCCGACGTTATATCAGCTGGCGTTATCCATGACAGTGACACTGGGGTTGTTTAGATTGGGCAGTGGCTGATGTTCCAAATAGTCAATGAACACATCACCTCCTATAATTTTCTTATGATAATCACCACTTTTCGTTTTCGCCTCGAAAACTAGCTCACATCCATCAATAAGCCCCAGATCATGGGGCCCGGAGTGCAAAACAATGACACGTGCTTTTCCTCCATCTAACGTAAGTCACATGTTGTCAGTGGAATGATTCTTATTCACCCAGGTTTAATCGTGTCTTTAATTTCCTCCCGATTTTTTCTACAAATCGGGAGTACCTTCTGCTCATAAAGCTTGTCCACTGTACGCCTAATCACTCTGTATCAAAGCTGTCTAATATCCTTTCACGTCCCGGGTTGGGTTTTGAGACCACCCCCATACCTTCTCTGTTTTATTTATCAATCCGGAGACTTGGTATGAATTAAAAAACCCATAGCTTGGCTGGTTCGGTAATACACCCATTCTAAACAAATAAGTGGTTACCCTCTATCTCTCTAAAGTGGAAAGAACTCTCCTGGTACAGACTCCATGTCGTGTACCATGGCTATGGCTATGCAAATGCAATGTAACATGCATCATGGGAGCAGTGTTGACAAAACAAATGCAGCACCTTTTTGATATTTTAGAAGACGCACATCTAAACTTTTTTCTAAATGATTTTTGGGTGTGAATTAGATGTTTTATGAAGACATTATTAGCAGTATGATTTCACATTTCTATAGACTGCCATCACTGGACTCTAAAATCTGTACATCTGTTTTCGTTCGGATTTTTCTCCTGCAAAAGTGTCGATAGGACTCCTTGTGACTTAAATACTTCAAACCACAGGGAGGTCAATCGGTAGTTACTAGATATTTCAATAGCAACAATCTGTGACAAATCTATCCTTTTATAACGGACAAAAAGAATTTTTTAGCATTTCCGACAGTACTTTATATTAGTAACTGTGGTCCTCGTATCGACGTTATATACATTTCACAGCTTATACTACCTGTTAATGACAGGTGATTCGTCCTACAATTGTGGTATTATGGCTTTGATAGAAACAGGTTCTCCGGTTTACGTTATTGTATATCATTAAATGCAGCAGGTACGGATTGTTTTCACACAAGAAACCAACATAATTCAATTCTCTTTCTTTTATGAATATGTTACATTTTGAATGCTTGTATCAAAATGCATTGGAACAGGTACTCCGTGTGTATTATTGTTTCAGTCTGAAACACATGTATATTACATACATATCAGTTTGGCTAAGTCAAGATGTTGGCGATAAACCATCATTCATTAATAGTTTTAAAAACGTTTTGATAAATATGTTCTACCAATCATGGAATGGTACTATCAAGGATAGTTCTAGGTACATCCTGTATAAAGAGTTTAAAGTCTCATGGAAGCAGAAAAATACCTTTCCATTATTGCTGAAATAAAATATCGAAATGTTATGATAAGGCTTAGAGCCGGGCTACTATGACTTAAGGTAAACGAAGGTAGATGGGCTGATATTGATGTACGTTTACGGATTTTCCCTATATGTGAAACACGTATAGAGAATGAATATCATTTTACTTTAGAATGTGAATATTACAACGATATTAGACAACTGTACTTACCAACAACTTTTTGCCATAATCCAAATATGCATAAATTTAAGATGCTGCTGTCATTTCCATGTAAACAATTGCTTGGAAAACTATGTAAATACCTGTATTGCAGCTAAGAAAGAGCCTGCAAATCTGTAAATGTGTACCTGACATTACCTTTTTTCCTGTACCACACTATTCCAAATGCGTGCAATGTATATGGGCCAGTGGCCTTGGTACAAATAAAATACATTTTCTTCTTCTTCATATCCATTCAGGGATTTGACTTCACAATGCCATTTAGAAAGTGATCAAAAGTAACAAGGGTTATATTTGGGATTCGAACCCACATTGCCAATTTACACTTTTCAGAGGGGTACACAAAGTACGTGATCTAGACAACCAGTTGTCGGACTTTCATTTTTTTGGAAGCCTCGGTGTCTGAGTGGGTTAGATCGCTGACTTTGTGTGATGTCGATTAGGTGCCTCACTCTGGCAGTGTGGGTTCGAATCCCGGACGGGACTCAGCAAAAAAAAGTTCAAGAATCTGTACTTTACTAAGAAAGTGTTTTCCCAAATATAACATTTGTTACATTCGGGGATTTATCTAGGATTCTAAAATAAGTGTCTCTGGAGTGCAAATTGGGAAAATCGTTATTTTCTTCAAATTCTTTTTTTTAGTTAATATTTTCTTAAATCCACAGGTATTGTTGATATTGCATTTAATGCAATAATATAAAACGAATAATTAAAACCTGTTCCTATTTGTTGGTATTGTTATGAGTGAATACTGATTGTGGGTTCGAATCCCGGTTCGCCCCAATTATGTTTCTAGATTTGTCAGCACCATACCCGTGCTCGTGGGTTTCACCGAAATGGTAAACGTCGGAGACCTGCATCACTTTGGGCTTTCATCCCACATTAAGCTGACACGCCGTGATATAACTAAAATAATGTTAAACTCGGCGTTAACCCGAACTCACTCACTCACTCTACAAAGCCATCAAATTAGTTATATATAACAATACATTGTAACATGGACTGAGAAAGGTTTAGTTCCAAATTGGGAATTTATATTGACAGTTTCTGCAAGCTTGGAGATCAATATCGGCCTCGAGCAGGTCCAGATATTAACCGTCAATAAGCATGTGACCGTCGTTATATGTGTGAAATAATGCCGAGACGACGTGAAATAGTGACTCCCACAATAAGCATAAGACACTACATGCATGTATTATGTTAATCTCATCCTTTTGACTACACTTGCCCGATATCGTAAAGAGTTTTTACTGATCACTCCCCCCCCCCCCCCCCCCCCCCCCTGCTTTGTTGTCAACCTCCCATTACATGTTATCCATTCAACACATAAAATCCAAGATTTACAGCCCGACTTGATATTGAAGCAGACAAACCATTGCTATATACCTTAGATACCGTTATCCACCCCAACCCCCACACACCACGTCCCTAATGCAGAACACACATGTTTCTAGACTTATGCTTTGGACATCGATGTTAACAAAGGTGTTAGTGGAAACAATAAATAGCGCCATATCTTGCTATTTGAATTTTTTTTTTTAGGCGAATGACACCACCAATAGCAGATAAGCGTCTGTTTCACAACATATGTATGTTATTTAACACAGAATCTGATATGACACCACATTATTTGTATGAAATGTTCAGGCTGCATATTTCCACATGGCTTGAAAATGTCCTTGTTTGGAAATATTATCTTTCAAAGTTTCCAAGGATGAAAGGTCAGGAAAGAGAGCCAGTTTTTCCAGTGATTTATCCAGATACGTCACACTTGCCAAGCCGCATTTAATGTATTGCACAATGTATTGATGCTTCTATAAATCACGATGCATGGATATTATTCTCTATATATTCTACGCGCTTTTCTCAATTTCGTTGATATGTTTCTACACTATCGACCTGTTGTTGATTACGTTGGCATTTTTGGTATATATATCATCAATAGAGGTAGTTGCTGGTCAGTGTGTGACCGTGCACCGTCCTCTACACCTCGGTCCAGAGAATATTTTCCCAAAACCACTCCTGTCTATTACCTCCATCACAAGCCCGGAGGTCAAGTTTATCTGAATGCTCTAGCCACGTCAGACACGTATTTGATGGAGGGTGGTAGATTGTTCGATTCTGAAATGAAAACACACATGAATGAAAATTGTAATTGTTTAGGTTTCAAACAGTTGGAGTTTCCAGGTGTTATAACTTCACAGAACCGACGACCATCCATGCAAAACACGTTCAACTGAATAGTCAGCTAGTTGGCGTGTTGCACACATATACATAGCCTGAATGTATCAGCTATTTGCCGTGTTATACATGTATACATAGCCTGAATGTGTCAGCTAGTTGGCGTGTTGTACACTTATACGTAGACTGAATGTGTCAGCGAGTATGTTGTACACATATACATAGCCTGAATGTGTGAGCTTGTTGTCGTGTTGTACATGTATACATAGACTAAATGTGTCAGCTAGTTGCCGTGTTGTACACATATACATAGCCTGAATGTGTGAGCTTGTTCCCGTGTTGTACACATATACGTAGACTGAATGTGTCAGCTAGTTGCCGTGTTGTAAAAATATACTTAGCCTGAATCTGTCAGCTAGTTGTCGTGTTGTAAACATATATATAGCCTGAATGTGTCAGCTAGCTGCCGTGTTGTACACATATACGTAGACTGAATGTATCAGCTAGTTGGCGTGTTGTACACTTATACATAGCCTGAATGTGTCAGCTAGTTGCCGTGTTGTACACATATGCGTAGCCTGAATGTGTCAGCGAGTATGTTGTACATATATACATAGCCTGGACGTGTCAGCTAGTTGCCTTGTTGTACATATATACATAGCCTTAATGTGTCAGCTAGCTGCCGTGTTGTACACATATACGTAGACTGAATGTGTCAGCTAGTTGCCGTGTTGTACACATATACATAGCCTGAATGTGTCAGCTAGTTGCCATGTTGTACACATATACGTAGCCTCCATCTGTCAGGTAGTTGACGTGTTGTACATGTATACATACCCTGAATGTGTCAGCTAGCTGCCGTGTTGTACACATATACGTAGACTGAATGTGTCAGCTAGTTGCCGTGTTGTACACATATACGTAGACTGAATGTGTCAGCTGGCTGCCGTGTTGTACACATATACGTAGACTGAATGTGTCAGCTAGTTGCCGTGTTGTATACATATACATAGCCTGATTGTGTCAGCTAGTTGCCGTGTTGTACATGCATACATAGCCTGATTGTGTCAGCTAGTTGCCGTGTTGTATACATATACATAGCCTGAATGTGTCAGCTAGTTGCCGTGTTGTACACATATACGTAGCCTGAATGTGTCAGCTAGTTGGCGTGTTGTACACTTATACGTAGACTGAATGTGTCAGCGAGTATGTTGTACATATATACATAGCCTGAACGTGTCAGCTAGTTGCCGTGTTGTATACATATACATAGCCTGAACGTGTCAGCTAGTGTTGTGTACATGTATACATAGCCTGAACGTGTCAGCTTGTTGCCGTGTTGTACACATATACGTAGACTGAACTTGTCAGCTAGTTGGCATGTTCTACACTTATACGAAGACTGAATGTGTCAGCGAGTATGTTGTTCACCTATACATAGACTGAACGTGTCAGCTAGTTGGCGTGTTGTACACTTATACGTAGACTGAATGTGTCAGCGAGTATGTTGTACACATATACGTAGACTGAACTTGTCAGCTAGATGGCGTGTTGTACACATATACGTAGACTGAATGTGTCAGCGAGTATTTTGTACACATATACATAGCCTGAACGTGTGAGCTAGTTGCCGTGTTGTACACATATACAATGCCTGAACCTGTCAGCTAGTGTTTTGTATATGTATACATACTCTGAACTTGTCAGATAGTTGCCGTGTGGTACACATATACGTAAAATGAATTTGTCAGCTTGTTGCCGTGTTGTACACATATACGTAGCCTGAATGTGTCAGCTAGTTGCCGTGTTGCACACATATACAATGCCTGAACGTGTCAGCTAGTGTTTTGTACATGTATACATAGCCTGAATGTGTCAGCTAGTTGCCGTGTTGTACACATATACGTAGCCTGAATGTGTCAGCTAGTTGGCGTGTTGTACACTTATACGTAGACTGAATGTGTCAGCGAGTATGTTGTACATATATACATAGCCTGAACGTGTCAGCTAGTTGCCGTGTTGTATACATATACATAGCCTGAACGTGTCAGCTAGTGTTGTGTACATGTATACATAGCCTGAACGTGTCAGCTTGTTGCCGTGTTGTACACATATACGTAGACTGAACTTGTCAGCTAGTGTTTTGTACATGTATACATAGCCTGAACGTGTCAGCTTGTTGCCGTGTTGTACACATATACGTAGACTGAACTTGTCAGCTAGTTGGCATGTTCTACACTTATACGAAGACTGAATGTGTCAGCGAGTATGTTGTTCACCTATTCATAGACTGAACGTGTCAGCTAGTTGGCGTGTTGTACACTTATACGTAGACTGAATGTGTCAGCGAGTATGTTGTACACATATACGTAGACTGAACTTGTCAGCTAGATGGCGTGTTGTACACATACACGTAGACTGAATGTGTCAGCGAGTATTTTGTACACATATACATAGCCTGAACGTGTGAGCTAGTTGCCGTGTTGTACACATATACAATGCCTGAACCTGTCAGCTAGTGTTTTGTATATGTATACATACTCTGAACTTGTCAGATAGTTGCCGTGTGGTACACATATACGTAAAATGAATTTGTCAGCTTGTTGCCGTGTTGTACACATATACGTAGCCTGAATGTGTCAGCTAGTTGCCGTGTTGCACACATATACAATGCCTGAACGTGTCAGCTAGTGTTTTGTACATGTATACATAGCCTGAATGTGTCAGCTAGTGTTTGTACATGTATACATAGCCTGAATGTGTGAGCTTGTTGCCGTGTTGTACACATATACGTAGACTGAACTTGTCAGCTAGTTGGCGTGTTGTACACTTATACGTAGACTGAATGTGTCAGCGAGTATGTTGTACACATATACATAGACTGAACGTGTCAGCTAGTTGCCGTGTTGTACACATATACGTAGACTGAATATGTCAGCTAGTGTTTTGTACATGTATACAATGCCTGAATGTGTCAGCTAGTGTGTTGAACATGTATACATAGCCTGAATGTTTCAGCTAGTTGCCGTGTTGTACACATATACGTAGCCTGAATGTGTGAGCTAGTTGGCGTGTTGTACACATATACAATGCCTGAAAGTGTCAGCTAGTGTTTTGTACATGTAAACATAGCCTGAACGTGTCAGATAGTTGCCGTGTTGTACACATATACGTAGACTGAATGTGTCAGCTTGTTACTGTGTTGTACAAATATACGTAGACTGAATGTGTCAGCTAGTTGGCGTGTTGTACACATATACGTAGACTGAACGTGTCAGCGAGGATGTTGTACACATATACATAAACTGAACGTGTCAGCTAGTTGCCGTGTTGTACACATATACGAAGACTGAATGTGTCAGCCAGTGTTTTGTAAATGTATGCATAGCCTGAATGTGTCAGCTAGTGTGTTGTGCATGTATACATAGCCTGAATGTATGAGCTTGTTGTCGTGTTGTACACATATAAATAGCCTGAATGTGTCAGCTAGTTGCCGTGTTGTACACATATACATAACATGAATGTGTCAGCTAGTTGCCATGTTGTACATATATACATAGCCTGAATGTGTGCGCTTGTTGCCGTGTTGTACACATATACGTAGACTGAACTTGTCAGCTAGTTGGCGTGTTGTACACTTATACGTAGACTGAATGTGTCAGCTAGTTGGCGTGTTGTACACTTATACGTAGGCTGAACACGTCAGCGAGGATGTTGTACACATATACATAGACTGAACGTGTCAGCTAGTTGCCGTGTTGTACACATATACGTAGACTGAATGTGTCAGCCAGTGTTTTGTACATGTATGCATAGCCTGAATGTGTCAGCTAGTGTGTTGATCATGTATACATAGCCTGAATGTGTGAGCTTGTTGTCGTGTTGTTCACATATGAATAGCCTGAATGTGTCAGCTAGTTGGCGTGTTGTACACGTATACATAACCTGAATGTGTCAGCTAGTTGCCTTGTTGTACATATATACGTAGACTGAACTTGTCAGCTGGTTGGCGTGTTGTACACTTATACGTAGACTGAATGTGTCAGCGAGTATGTTGTACACATATACATAGACTGAACGTGTGAGCTAGTTGCCGTGTTGTACACATATACATAGCCTGAATTTGTCAGCTAGTTAACGTGTTGTACACATATACGTAGACTGAATGTGTCAGCTAGTGTTTTGTACATGTATACATAGCCTGAATGTGTCAGCTAGTGTGTTGTACACATATACATAGACTGAATGTGTCAGCTTGTTGCCGTGTTGTACACATATACGTAGACTGAATGTGTCAGCTACTTGCCGTGTTGTACACATATACGTAGCCTGAATGTGTCACCTAGTGTGTTGTACATGTATACATAGCCTGAACGTGTCAGCTAGTTGCCGTGTTGTACACATACGTAGACCGAATGTGTCAGCTAGTTTCCGTGTTGTACACATATACGTAGCCTGAATGTGTCAGCTAGTTGCCGTGTTGTACACATATACAATCCCAGAACGTGTCAGCTATTGTTTTGTACACATTAACATAGACTGAATGTGTCAGCTAGTTGCCGTGTTGTACACATATACAATGCCTGAACGTGTCAGCTAGTGTTTTGTACATGTATACAAAGCCTGAATGTGTCAGCTAGTTGGCGTGTTGTACACATATACATAGACTGAATGTGTGAGCTTGTTGCCGTGTGGTACACATATACGTAGACTGAATGTGTCAGCTAGTTGCCGTGTTGTACACATATACATAGCCTGAATTTGTCAGCTAGTCAACGTGTTGTACATATATACGTAGACTGAACGTGTCAGCTAATTTTTTGTACATGAATACATAGCCTGAATGTGTCAGCTAGTGTGTTGTACATGCATACATAGCCTGAATGTGTCAGCTAGTGTGTTGTACACATATATATAGCCTGAATGTGTCAGCTAGTTGCCCTGTTGTACACATATACATAGACTGAACGTGTCAGCTAGTTGCCGTGTTGTACATATGTACGAGGACTGAATGTGTCAGCGAGTATGTTGTACACATATACATAGCCTGAATGTGTCAGCTAGTTGCCGTGTTGTACACATATACATAGCCTGAATTTGTCAGCTAGTCAACGTGTTGTACATATATACGTAGACTGAACGTGTCAGCTAATTGTTTGTACATGAATACATAGCCTGAATGTGTCAGCTAGTGTGTTGTACATGTATACATAGCCTGAATGTGTCAGCTAGTGTGCTGTACACATATACATAGCCTGAATGTGTCAGCTAGTTGCCCTGTTGTACACATATACGTAGCCTGAATGTGTCAGCTAGTTGCCGTGTTGTACACATAAACAATGCCTGAACGTGTCAGCTATTGTTTTGTACACATATACATAGCCTGAATGTGTCAGCTAGTTGCCGTGTTGTACACATATACGTAGCCTGAATGTGTAAGCTATTTGCCGTGTTGTACACATATACGTAGCCTGAACGTGTCAGCTAGTGTTTTGTACATGTATACATAGCCTGAATGTGTGAGCTTGTTGCCGTGTGGTACACATATACGTAGACGGAATGTGTCAGCTTGTTTGCGTGTTGCACACTTTTACGTAGACTGAACGTGTCAGCGAGTATGTTGTACACATATACATAGACTGAACGTGTCAGCTAGTGTTTTCTACATGTATACATAGCCTGAATGTGTGAGCTTGTTGCCGTGTGGTACACATATACGTAGACTGAATGTGTCAGCTAGTGTGGTGTACACATATACATAGCCTGAATGTGTGAGCTATTGTTTTTTTCACATATACATAGACTGAATGTGTGAGCTAGTTGCCGTGTTGTACACATATACGTAGACTGAATGTGTCAGCTAGTTGCCGTGTTGTACACATATACGTAGACTGAATGTGTCAGCTAGTGTTTTGTACATGTATACATAGCCTGAACGTGTCAGCTCACCTCGGTATAACGAATTTCTTGATTGCCTTTTAATCTGTGACAGGGATATAGAATCGGGCGACCTTTCCCTATGTCCATGCAGTTTGCTATGAGTCGCAGTTCATCATTTGGCATGACATAAAATATCTGCAACAAACACATGCGCAAACAGAACACACAGTTGACGGCAGTATGAAATCAGTATGTAGTGATAGCATGGCATGTTGTTCAATGCCATTACATTCTATTGAGCATAATAAAAAAAACATCATTAAATTATATTTTCCCACTTTAATTAAATTGTTGATGTTTTTCGTTTTCGCTCCGAAAATGAACCCAATCCTCCCTTAAACCTAAGTCCAATTTGTTGCCTTGGAAACCATAAATATACAAATAAAACATTCCAATGCATCCTTCTACCAAGAAATATTAAATGGTTTTGTGTTATCATGAGGATGCGCCACATGACGGGGGAACGGTTTAAAGGATGGTTAGTGAAAAAAGGTTCTGACGTCACCTAACGTATATCTTCTATTTCAGTTCAGAAATAAACTTTGACTCACTTGGTTATGAAAATACTTCTTTTCACATTTCCGCACAAGAACAAGTCTGTTAATGTGATCACTTTCGCCGTGCAAGCAGAAAGACGAGTCATGCTTGCTGTGAATCTGAAATAGAGGGCGACGTGTGGCAGACGGACTAAAGCCGTATATTATCTGGTAACAACAAGAGGGGCAGTCAAAGAAGTGGCAGGAGTGTGAAGCGGTTATAATATCCCCAGAGGTTGTGGTGGTGGTAATAATAGTAGAAGTCACGGTGATTGAAGTTGGTATAATGTCAGCAGTGGTCGTTGTGGTTATGGTAATAATAGTAGAAGTCACGGTGATTGAAATGGGTATAATGTCAGCAGTGGTCGTTGTGGTGGTAATAATAGTAGAAGTCACGGTGATTGAAATGGGTATAATGTCAGCAGTGGTCGTTGTGGTGGTAATAATAGTAGGAGTCACGGTGATTGAAATGGGTATAATGTCAGCAGTGGTCGTTGTGGTGGTAATAATAGTAGAAGTCACGGTGATTGAAATGGGTATAATGTCAGCAGTGGTCGTTGTGGTGGTAAAAATAGTAGAAGTCACGGTGATTGAAGTGGGTATAGTGTCAGCAGTGGTCGTTGTGGTGATGGTAATGATAGTAGAAGTCACGGTAATTGAAGTGGGTATAATGTCAGCAGTGGTCGTTGTGGTGGTAATAATAGTAGAAGTCACGGTGATTGAAATGGGTATAATGTCAGCAGTGGTCGTTGTGGTGGTAATAATAGTAGAAGTCACGGTGATTGAAATGGGTATAATGTCAGCAGTGGTCGTTGTGGTGGTAATAATAGTAGAAGTCACGGTGATTGAAATGGGTAAAATGTCAGCAGTGGTCGTTGTGGTGGTAATAAAAGTAGAAGTCACGGTGATTGAAGTGGGTATAATGTCAGCAGTGGTCGTTGTGGTGATGGTAATGATAGTAGAAGTCACGGTAATTGAAGTGGGTATAATGTCAGGAGTGGTCGTTGTGGTGGTAATAATAGTAGAAGTCACGGTGATTGAAGTGGGTATAATGTCAGCAGTGGTCGTTGTGGTGGTAATAATAGTAGAAGTCACGGTGATTGAAATGGGTATAATGTCAGCAGTGGTCGTTGTGGTGGTAATAATAGTAGAAGTCACGGTGATTGAAGTGGGTATAATGTCAGCAGTGGTCGTTGTGGTGGTGGTAATAATAGTAGAAGTCACGGTAATTGAAGTGGGTATAACATCAGGAGTGGTCGTTGTGGTGATGGTAATGATAGTAGAAGTCACGGTAATTTAAGTGGGTATAATGTCAGCAGTGGTCGTTGTGGTGGTAATAATAATAGTAGAAGTCACGGTGATTGAAGTGGGTATAACATCAGGAGTGGTCGTTGTGGTGATAGTAATGATAGTAGAAGTCACGGTAATTGAAGTGGGTATAACATCAGCAGTGGTTGTTGTGGTGGTGATAATAGTAGAAGTCACGGTGATTGAAGTGGGTATAGTGTCAGCAGTGGTCGTTGTGGTGATGGTAATGATAGTAGAAGTCACGGTAATTGAAGTGGGTATAATGTCAGCAGTGGTCGTTGTGGTGGTAATAATAGTAGAAGTCACGGTGATTGAAATGGGTATAATGTCAGCAGTGGTCGTTGTGGTGGTAATAATAGTAGAAGTCACGGTGATTGAAATGGGTATAATGTCAGCAGTGGTCGTTGTGGTGGTAATAATAGTAGAAGTCACGGTGATTGAAATGGGTATAATGTCAGGAGTAGTCGTTGTGGTGGTAATAAAAGTAGAAGTCACGGTGATTGAAGTGGGTATAATGTCAGCAGTGGTCGTTGTGGTGATGGTAATGATAGTAGAAGTCACGGTGATTGAAGTGGGTATAATGTCAGCAGTGGTCGTTGTGGTGGTAATAATAGTAGAAGTCACGGTGATTGAAGTGGGTATAATGTCAGCAGTGGTCGTTGTGGTGGTGGTAATAATAGTAGAAGTCACGGTGATTGAAGTGGGTATAACATCAGGAGTGGTCGTTGTGGTGATAGTAATGATAGTAGAAGTCACGGTAATTTAAGTGGGTATAATGTCAGGAGTGGTCGTTGTGGTGGTGGTAATAATAGTAGAAGTCACGGTGATTGAAGTGGGTATAACATCAGGAGTGGTCGTTGTGGTGATGGTAATGATAGTAGAAGTCACGGTAATTGAAGTGGGTATAACATCAGCAGTGGTTGTTGTGGTGGTAATAATAGTAGAAGTCACGGTGATTGAAGTGGGTATAATGTCAGCAGTGGTCGTTGTGGTGGTGGTAATAATAGTAGAAGTCACGGTAATTGAAGTGGGTATAATGTCAGCAGTGGTCGTTGTGGTGGTGGTAATAATAGTAGAAGTCACGGTGATTGAAGTGGGTATAATGTCAGCAGTGGTCGTTGTGGTGGTAATAATAGTAGAAGTCACGGTGATTGAAGTGGGTATAACATCAGGAGTGGTCGTTGTGGTGATGGTAATGATAGTAGAAGTCACGGTAATTGAAGTGGGTATAACATCAGCAGTGGTCGTTGTGGTGGTAATAATAGTAGAAGTCACGGTGATTGAAGTGGGTATAACATCAGGAGTGGTCGTTGTGGTGATGGTAATGATAGTAGAAGTCACGGTAATTGAAGTGGGTATAATGTCAGCAGTGGTCGTTGTGGTGGTGGTAATAATAGTAGAAGTCACGGTGATTGAAGTGGGTATAACATCAGGAGTGGTCGTTGTGGTGATGGTAATGATAGTAGAAGTCACGGTAATTGAAGTGGGTTTAACATCAGCAGTGGTCGTTGTGGTGGTAATAATAGTAGAAGTCACGGTGATTGAAGTGGGTATAATGTCAGCAGTGGTCGTTGTGGTGGTGGTAATAATAGTAGAAGTCACGGTAATTGAAGTGGGTATAACATCAGGAGTGGTCGTTGTGGTGATGGCAATGATAGTAGAAGTCACGGTAATTGAAGTGGGTATAATGTCAGCAGTGGTCGTTGTGGTGGTGGTAATAATAGTAGAAGTCACGGTGATTGAAGTGGGTATAATGTCAGCAGTGGTCGTTGTGGTGGTAATAATAGTAGAAGTCACGGTGATTGAAGTGGGTATAACATCAGGAGTGGTCGTTGTGGTGATGGTAATGATAGTAGAAGTCACGGTAATTGAAGTGGGTATAATGTCAGCAGTGGTCGTTGTGGTGGTGGTAATAATAGTAGAAGTCACGGTGATTGAAGTGGGTATAACATCAGGAGTGGTCGTTGTGGTGATGGTAATGATAGTAGAAGTCACGGTAATTGAAGTGGGTTTAACATCAGCAGTGGTCGTTGTGGTGGTAATAATAGTAGAAGTCACGGTGATTGAAGTGGGTATAATGTCAGCAGTGGTCGTTGTGGTGGTGGTAATAATAGTAGAAGTCACGGTAATTGAAGTGGGTATAACATCAGGAGTGGTCGTTGTGGTGATGGCAATGATAGTAGAAGTCACGGTAATTGAAGTGGGTATAATGTCAGCAGTGGTCGTTGTGGTGGTGGTAATAATAGTAGAAGTCACGGTGATTGAAGTGGGTATAATGTCAGCAGTGGTCGTTGTGGTGGTAATAATAGTAGAAGTCACGGTGATTGAAGTGGGTATAACATCAGGAGTGGTCGTTGTGGTGATGGTAATGATAGTAGAAGTCACGGTAATTGAAGTGGGTATAACATCAGCAGTGGTTGTTGTGGTGGTAATAATAGTAGAAGTCACGGTGATTGAAGTGGGTATAACATCAGGAGTGGTCGTTGTGGTGATGGTAATGATAGTAGAAGTCACGGTAATTGAAGTGGGTATAACATCAGCAGTGGTTGTTGTGGTGGTAATAATAGTAGAAGTCACGGTGATTGAAGTGGGTATAATGTCAGCAGTGGTCGTTGTGGTGGTGGTAATAATAGTAGAAGTCACGGTGATTGAAGTGGGTATAATGTCAGCAGTGGTCGTTGTGGTGGTAATAATAGTAGAAGTCACGGTGATTGAAGTGGGTATAACATCAGGAGTGGTCGTTGTGGTGATGGTAATGATAGTAGAAGTCACGGTAATTGAAGTGGGTATAAGATCAGCAGTGGTCGTTGTGGTGGTAATAATAGTAGAAGTCACGGTGATTGAAGTGGGTATAACATCAGGAGTGGTCGTTGTGGTGATGGTAATGATAGTAGAAGTCACGGTAATTGAAGTGGGTATAATGTCAGCAGTGGTCGTTGTGGTGGTGGTAATAATAGTAGAAGTCACGGTGATTGAAGTGGGTATAACATCAGGAGTGGTTGTTGTGGTGGTAATAATAGTAGAAGTCACGGTGATTGAAGTGGGTATAACATCAGGAGTGGTCGTTGTGGTGATGGTAATGATAGTAGAAGTCACGGTAATTGAAGTGGGTTTAACATCAGCAGTGGTCGTTGTGGTGGTAATAATAGTAGAAGTCACGGTGATTGAAGTGGGTATAATGTCAGCAGTGGTCGTTGTGGTGGTGGTAATAATAGTAGAAGTCACGGTAATTGAAGTGGGTATAACATCAGGAGTGGTCGTTGTGGTGATGGCAATGATAGTAGAAGTCACGGTAATTGAAGTGGGTATAATGTCAGCAGTGGTCGTTGTGGTGGTGGTAATAATAGTAGAAGTCACGGTGATTGAAGTGGGTATAATGTCAGCAGTGGTCGTTGTGGTGGTAATAATAGTAGAAGTCACGGTGATTGAAGTGGGTATAACATCAGGAGTGGTCGTTGTGGTGATGGTAATGATAGTAGAAGTCACGGTAATTGAAGTGGGTATAACATCAGCAGTGGTTGTTGTGGTGGTAATAATAGTAGAAGTCACGGTGATTGAAGTGGGTATAACATCAGGAGTGGTCGTTGTGGTGATGGTAATGATAGTAGAAGTCACGGTAATTGAAGTGGGTATAATGTCAGCAGTGGTTGTTGTGGTGGTGGTAATAATAGTAGAAGTCACGGTGACTGAAGTGGGTATAACATCAGGAGTGGTCGTTGTGGTGATGGTAATGATAGTAGAAGTCACGGTAATTGAAGTGGGTTTAACATCAGCAGTGGTCGTTGTGGTGGTAATAATAGTAGAAGTCACGGTGATTGAAGTGGGTATAATGTCAGCAGTGGTCGTTGTGGTGGTGGTAATAATAGTAGAAGTCACGGTAATTGAAGTGGGTATAACATCAGGAGTGGTCGTTGTGGTGATGGCAATGATAGTAGAAGTCACGGTAATTGAAGTGGGTATAATGTCAGCAGTGGTCGTTGTGGTGGTGGTAATAATAGTAGAAGTCACGGTGATTGAAGTGGGTATAATGTCAGCAGTGGTCGTTGTGGTGGTAATAATAGTAGAAGTCACGGTGATTGAAGTGGGTATAACATCAGGAGTGGTCGTTGTGGTGATGGTAATGATAGTAGAAGTCACGGTAATTGAAGTGGGTATAAGATCAGCAGTGGTCGTTGTGGTGGTAATAATAGTAGAAGTCACGGTGATTGAAGTGGGTATAACATCAGGAGTGGTCGTTGTGGTGATGGTAATGATAGTAGAAGTCACGGTAATTGAAGTGGGTATAAGATCAGCAGTGGTCGTTGTGGTGGTAATAATAGTAGAAGTCACGGTGATTGAAGTGGGTATAACATCAGGAGTGGTCGTTGTGGTGATAGTAATGATAGTAGAAGTCACGGTAATTGAAGTGGGTATAACATCAGCAGTGGTTGTTGTGGTGGTAATAATAGTAGAAGTCACGGTGATTGAAGTAGGTATTATGTCAGCAGTGGTCGTTGTGGTGGTAATAATAGTAGAAGTCACGGTGATTGGAATGGGTATAATGTCAGCGGTGGTTGTTCTGGTGGTAATAATAGTAGATGTCACGGTGATTGAAGTGGGTATAATGTCAGCAGTGGTCGTTGTGGTGGTAATAATAGTAGAAGTCACGGTAATTGAAGTGGGTATAACATCAGCAGTGGTTGTTGTGGTGGTAATAATAGTAGAAGTCACGGTAATTGAAGTGGGTGTAATGTCAGCAGTGGTCGTTGTGGTGGTAATGTGACCGATGTAGTTTTTTTATATATTTGTTTTAATTTCATTTTAGGTTTTTACGTATATTTATTATATATAACTAGTTGTCCGTTACAGTCAGCTATAACAAAGTGTATCTGACCTGTCTTACCTACTAACTGCCCCATGGCCAGAAGCTTCATTTGCTGATTGGCCAAGCTAACACCTATTGTTAAACTGCATGCTTTGATTACACTGCATACTCTCTCAGCACATAAACTGACAGAACTGCTCAGACCAGCAAAGGATAAAGAGAGAATATTAAATCAGGTGAGTTAAATGGTTATAATCTCTATCTTGTGTTGTATTTAAACAATACAGTATGTTTAAAGTGTTATATGAAGTAAACTAAATGTATGTAATCTAACATAAATGTTGATTATGTCTAAATATTTAAATCTGCATAAGATAAGCTAAACACCCATACTTTATCACTAAAATGTATTCTATCACTTCAATGAAATATGTGTGAAAGTGTTTTACCTCAAGAGTGTTTTAATAAGCTTTGTAATGTAGAGATTCAGATGTGATACAATGCAAATCATTGTAAATAAAATGTGTGTATTACTTTGTTCAATATATTAAATGTTAAATAGTGTTTTAGTCTATGTATTGTTTATTCAGATAATCTATGGTGTTGCCATACGTGTGGCAGTTGGGATCCACACCCTTGTATCACCCACAGGGTATGCATTGTGTTATTTATATTTGTCTAAGACTTACAATGTAATCTAATTGTGATGACCACATTTAATGTAAGATCATATCATTAATTTCTGTCTTAAAGTATTGTATATGTTTATGCCGAATGTGTAAGCGTTATGCATTTATATTATGTATATATATTGTGTATATATTATAGTCAAATGAAAGTCAAGGAGTTATCTCCCTTGAATGTCGGTATTGTTGATCATGTACATACTGTATATCTTCTAGTATAATCGTTTAAGGTTCAGTCTATCTTGTGTTTAATGGATGACTAATATATGTAAATAATTACTTGTAATAAGCCTATGCTATGTATCTAGCATTAATGATAATGTTTTACTTAGTATGTATTGTGTTATTATGTGTTTCAGGGTGTATGATATATAGATCCTTGATCACACTCAACGCATCGCAATAAAGACCTCAACCCCGTAGCATGTGTTTGTTCGCTCTAAAAAGACCTTCACTAAACTGCTACAGTAATACTAGTAGAAGTCACGGTGATTGAAGTGGGTATAATGTCAGCAGTGGTCGTTGTGGTGATGGTAATGATAGTAGAAGTCACGGTGATTGAAGTGGGTATAACATCAGCAGTGGTCGTTGTGGTGGTAATAATAGTAGAAGTCACGGTAATTGAAGTGGGTATAATGTCAGCAGTGGTCGTTGTGATGATAGTAATAATAGTAGAAGTCACGGTAATTGAAGTGGGTATAATGTCAGCAGTAGTCGTTGTGATGATAGTAATGATAGTAGTAGTCGCGGTCATTGAAGTAATAGTAGCAGCAGTAGCGACAGTAGCTGAAGCTATAATAGTAGTACTTGCCCCTTTCTCGGAAAGAAGGCTCGCCGTATTTTGGAAGACATGTTAATATCTAACCAACCATCATTGCAATACATATGTGGCAAACCTCAGCCAAACGGAAGAGACAGCCATTAATTCAAGGGCATAAATCTACCAACTGCTGAGCAAAACGGTTCCTTCAGATAAGTATTAATATTGTAGCCTTGTTTTGCACCACATCATTTATCAAATACAGAATTAAATTCACGTACAAGGCCACTAAGCTTTGCTCTTGTCGGTAAGAAAACTGTTGTGTAGACGTTTTCTAAATACCACTGAAAACTTCTACACTTGAGTTGTTGTCTGAGTTGTAGACGCGCCGACACATTCCCGTAGTTAACCTGAAAACCGAACAAATATGTTAGCTTTGTGTACTATATTAACAACAACACGGCTTCCTATCAGTTTGATGGGTTGTTTTGGACTATCTTTCATTTACAAAGATGTTGACATGTCACAGCTGACAGAGGTACCTGAAACTGACATAAAATATTGACAAAAACCATAAATAGTTTCCGTACTGGAGAAATCACTCGCATCCTCTTATTCTATTTCCGGAATCAATCGATTCGAGTGATTTCTTGGAGTTTAACCAGGTTATGACTGATATATAAATTTCTCTGTAGTTGTGCATAATGACCTATATTTGTGTCAGTGGGGCTGGGAATTTATAGAAAACAATGAATAGTCCCAGATAATGCTTGTAAGCAATAATCGTACTTGAGATTGTTGAAATAAATGATAATGTCTGTCACAAAAATACAGTGTTACAATTAAAACAATATTTAGGCTCATATTTTATATCAAAACATATCTTGTTTTGCAGATGAAGATGAAAATATCTTGTCTCCATACAAACCCCCAAGAGAATTTGGGAGTTTTAGAGTTTAAGAGTGAGTGAGTGAGTGAGTTGTGTTTAACGCCGCTTTTAACAGTATTCCAGTCATATCACGGCGTGTCAGCTTAATGTGGGAGGAAAGCCCAAAGTGATGCAGGTCTCAGACGTTTACCACTTCGGTGAAACCCACGAGCACGGGTATGGTGCTGACAAACCTAGAACCATAATCGGGGCGAACCGGGATTCGAACCCACAATTATAGGTTTCTGGCGTGCCCAAGGGACGCAACTCTGCACAGCGAATCGCGGCGCCTTAGACGACTGGGCCACCCGTGCCCCCCTAGAGTTTAAGAAGGTGGCAAGACTGACAAACCGGAAACTCCTTTATTAAGACCTTGTGGCCTCCCCATCCCAGTGTTCCTCATCCCCAGTTGGACTACTTCTACTGCATATTTCTTACCAGTTTTCTTCCTGACACCCTAGAGTAGAAATGCTTGTACTCGTCTAGCCACACTGCGGCTGTTCTCAGTGTGTTCCGCAGCCACTTGCCGGTGTTGGCGCCACCACTGTTGGGGTTTTTGGACCGAAAGATGTGACCAACTACAGAACAAGGTATCAGCTCGATTGTCCCTCCACACATCCAGATCTGCAAAACACATGAAATCAATGAGTTCATGACTAGTTGTATTATAGTTAGTGGAAGCCTCGATGGCTCAGTGGGTTAGATCGCTGACTTTGAGTGCTGGCGATTAGGTGCCTCATTCTGAGAGTGTGGGTTCGAATGCCTTATGGGACGCAACCCTCAAAATGGACTAGAATTTGTACTTTACTGAGAAAGTGTTATCCCAGGTATAATATGTGTTACAGTACACAAACATGTTCCCTCTTCCACTTACCCGAAATGATATTTCCACATTCTCGGCTCCCCAGAACGACATACCGTCATCATACGTCCCAACATGAAAGAAGAAATCCTTGTCTATTGCAAACAGTCCTCCTGGCATGGTAGGACTCCTGAAGAAAAATTCATACATGCTCTTCTGTTTCGACTTTCCATTCTTAAAAATATACGCATACTGCTACTTACATAATACGAATGGTATTCTCAAGTTGTGTTTTAGGATAAAACACGTCCGAGGGCTTTAAATGTCATAAAACCCCGAGGGGAAGTGTTTTATTTATCTGTTTTGGTTTCAGAAAGTTACATGGGGATGAGTAATAATTGGAAAGATGTAAACAAACTTTTAAAAGAAACTCTATCTTTGTCTCACATATGTATATTGATATGCGTAAATACGAAATACATAAATAATAATGAAAATAAATGTTGTGGCTCTCAATTGTTGACAGTATCTGAATGTCTCCACAGTTCTCGCTCATTATAAAATAATATTACCATAATGTAGCTATTACTTTGAAAAGATTAATTATGAAGAAATATTAATAACATTCCCACTGTAGATATATCAATGTCAATAGTATCGTGTATACCACTATGATTGTGTCCCTTGACAAATCAATAACAAATGTTTATGGAAGACATTGTTGTGAAAACATATCACTAGCTATTATTTTCATAATATGTTTGTTTTTCTACTTTTTATATATTACATAAACATTTAAACTGAAATGTGCCATAATCGCATTCCTGATTCTGAAGGGACCACAAGCAAATTACAATAAGTTTTACCTTCTGGGTTACACATGTGCGCTTTATGACAGTGTAGGTACTTGCATCAATAGGTAGGTATGCTTCAAATATTATTATTGCCGTGTTAATGCTATGAAAGTTATTTTGTCTTATATATAAACCGAACGAAACGTCTGAAACAATATTTGTCAATAACTTTTGGTTTCAAACACCTCAGAAAAGCCATGAATGTTAAAAAAGGAACGCAAAATATCTCTAGCTGGTGTATATATTCTTGAAAAAGAGATTCTAAAAAGCATTGTGGTTTTCCAGCTAAGCTACAGATACGAAGGTTGCAAGTTCGATCCACTGAAGTATAAAGAAGTCATTTTTCATTTCTTTTGCACATTTCGTTTGTGTTAAAATGCAAAATCCACCTCTAGCGAGGGGCGTGCTAATATAAAATACCCCAGGGGATAGAGGTACTTTCTATAGACACCCCTGGGACAGAGGGATATTCTGGAGTAAGTTCGTGCTGAGAGGTTATCCTCTATACGAAGGCACATAAAGTCAAGTAGATTTGGGTCGTGTTTCACATGAACAAACTTGTACCTACTTCACCGGGGAGATGGGCGTTGCTCTGTCCTCTAGACGAGGAGTTTCCCAAGTGTATACCAACGACCAGGTAAATATTCCAACTTGAAGAACTTTAGCATCCACATTTGTCTTGAATGCAAACGTGTTCTTATCAATACCGGGTATGGCTGGCCAAACAACTCTTGTTGAATTGCCACGTATTCTCATCAGCAGGGGAGGTAACCAGTCTGTAGTACAACACAAAGATATATCATCTAATAATTAATTCAGAGTATTACTAAACAGGATATGGATGATATTCAAGATATTGATAAAACTGTTCTCTGTTCAGTGAATGACCCGGTGACCTTTGCTTGCAAACAAGCACACACATCGTATTCTTCTATGAAGTGCAATTTCTTGGTGATTGTACAATTGGGGACGTTGCAGATGGCTGACTGAACCAAAATGCTTACTGAGCAACGGTGATTGTTTGAGATCAAGACTATTTGATCCCATCCGACTTCTATGAACTCATTAAGCAATAATCACCCCATCGATGTATACTTATCCTGTTTAATTGGCTTCCTGTGTTATTGGCTTCCTTATCATGTGTTCTCAGTCCACCATGTTATTACTGTATTATCCCTTTGTTGTCATGGAACACCTACAGGGGCGGTCGGGTAGCCTAGTGGTCAAAGCTTCGCTCGTCACGACCCGGGTTCGATTCCCGACATGGGTACAATCTGTGAAGCCCAGTTCTGGTGTCCCCCGCCGTGATATTGCTGGAATATTGCTAAAAGCGGCGTATAACCTCACTCACCATTTAGCCTTGCTTGACAACAGTAAGGATCTTTACCGAAACTTCGCCTCTACAGTAATTAAAGAAGTTGTTATCCATAAATTGTGACTACTTTGATTGTTTGGTAGTTCTCATTAATTTCTCAAGCCTTGCGTGAATTTCTATCGTTATTGAATGATAAGATCTTAATGTTAATTACTAATGATAGCCAAACGTATTAAATTCATCAACTCCATGAAAATCTTACTATCAGCACTAGTACCCTCATGAAAATATTACAATCAGCAGTAGTAACTTCATGAAAATATTACAGTCAGCAGAAGTAACTTCATGAAAATGTTACTATCAGCAGTAGTAACTTCATGATAATATTACTATCAGCTGTAGTAACTTCATGAAAATATTACTATCAGCAGTAGTAACTTCATGAAAATATTACTATCAGCAGTAGTAACTTCATGAAAATATTACTATCAGCAGTAGTAACTTCATGAAAATCTTACTTTCAGCAGTAGTAACTTCATGAAAATCTTACTATCAGCAGTAGTAACTTCATGAAATTATTACTATCAGCAGTAGTTACTTCATGAAAATATTACTATCAGCAATAGTAACTTCATGAAAATCTTACTATCAGCAGTGTTAACTTCATGAAAATCTTACTATCAGCAGTGTTAACTTCATGAAAATATTACTATCAGCAGTAGTTACTTCATGAAAATATTACTATCAGCAGTAGTAACTTCATGAAAATATTACTATCAGCGGTCGTAAATGGTGCTGGGATGCTTAGTAAAACCACAATTAACACACTCGCACACACTTAACCCTGCTTTAAACCTGGTTTTGACTAATTATTTTACTTTGTTTCCACGTAGGGGTAATTGTATTAGTAAAGTTTGAATTGGCAGTAGTTGGTACATATATTATATGTATGCCCTTACTTGTCGTGCATTCAATATGTGAGTCAAGGAATGTTAAGACTTTCCCTGAAGCGGCTTTAGCTCCCAATATGCGTGACCGCATCAGTCCTTCTGGCTGCATGTTCCGGAGGATCTTCACTTTCGGAAATCGCGTCATGTAAACCTCAAGGGGTTTCTTCAGATTTTCTGTGATGAAGAAAGCATTGTATCACATTTGCTGATGAGGGTAGCGAGTCTGAAACTTTCATATTGTCATCTTAATTCAAGTGGGTGAGCGAGTTAAAATTTAAAATCACATCGGCAATATTTCAGCCATATCGTGACTTTCAAAGGTTATATATAATAAATAGATGTAAACCATAAGACACCTCAATTCAAGATAACGAAATGCATAATCATATTTTACCATGACTCGAACCATCGTCGACAAGAATTATTTCCCTTAGTAGATGTGGAGGTGTCATGTTGATCACAGAGTGCACACTTCTCACGAGAACTGACCAAGCCTCGTTCAGGAAACAGATGATCACACTGGTATCCGGTAATACACCCGTGTATGTCAGATTTTTACATCTGAAATGATACAAATTGCATAAACATTCAAGTAAAAAACTTTATAAACAGAAAGTGATTTTATGACATCTGATTGGCTAAACAAGCAAAACAATTATGCCACGCCTACTAACGGACTACTGTTTCTTGATTGGATAATAATAGAATGTGTGGAGGGCTTGTGTTGCCTTATTGGGCTGAACAATGTCACTGCCTTTTTTTGTTTGAAAGTTTAAATAAGCAGTCTGAAGTTATTTTTGTTGACACATTTTATTATAAGAATTGACTCCAAAATGTTTTACGTTCATAACTCATTAAACGCAAAATATATTGAAGTCAATACTTCAATAAATCTGTGAAGAACCATAATTAAAATTGAGTCGGAGGGGCAGCGACTTGTCAAAAAACTATACTAAATGATATTATTTGCGAACATATTTGCCTATTTTGGTCAATCAACCTGAGTTATTTTCACAAAAGCAACTTGGCCACATCCGCCATCTTTGTCCCTCGGCGCGCCCCCTTCTCAAAATGCGCAGCAGGCGGCTCTCCTTCATTAGGAATTCTACCACGACGACGGGAAATACTCTCAAATAATATTTGATTGGACAATGAATACAACCACAATAAAAGTAGACATAACCAACTGGGATTGGAAAATCATCTGCTGTACCTTTTTGTATTTCAGATAACTGTTTATTGAAACGATGTGCTGTTACGTTCGATTTAAATGTGTTTGTCCTTTCATTGAAACTGGTATTGGCGCTATGAATGGTCTGTCGAAATAGTAAGTCCCGTGTGTCTAATGTACATGTAACATGTTGTGATTGTAGAAGGTAACTAATAGACGAGTAGATGGGAACAGGGCTTTTTAATACTCATTTTATGTCCCACGCGGTTGGTGTACGCAGTCAGCCAAGTCGCCAAGACCCCCTGGTCCAGTTAGCAGATAACTATGGTTCTTGTAGGCTTCAAAATGAACACTTCTACATGTAATATTGATGAGCAAAGTTCCGGCGTTGTTACTACGTTAACCTTAATACCTTAGAGGTACAAATATTCATTTCATGTCACATACACATAACGGAGGAAATACAGTCCACAATGTATCAGTTTACTGAAGTGAGTTCAGTTTTCAGTGATATCGTCCATTGAAGTTGTAATGTTTTGCACTTCAAAGTTTCAACTTTCTTTGGACTTGATGTTTTTTAGAAGAAGATTGATATGATGTCCCAGTTTGTCCCATGATCTGACAGCTGTAGACGAGTTAGCAAGCATGTAGATCGCTGTCCTGTCATCCTGTCTTTTGTCTCAACATGACTGCCTTTCATTTACTTGGTGACATCGCATATTTGGAGATTTAGACAGGAAAAACCTCAAAAGTTTGAAAACGTATCATCAGCCCACATGAAAAGAAGAAAATGTATTTGTTCTTTCTTCCACTGGAATCTTCCAAAGAAGGAGATTTATTGTTTTGAATCACTGTCTTGGTGATGTAAGAGACAGAGGTTGATTGTCACAAGCAGCTTTGTGATGAATGATGAAGTTGAAACATTCATGTCCCAGGGCATCAAATATTCTTAATGACGGTCATTAAATTTGAATACTGAATAGGAAACCGACAGTTTTCTCAATAAGTGAGTGAGTTAAGATCTATAGTCACATCGGCAGTATTTCAGCCATATCGTGACTGCAACACTTTAAACATCAATACGAAATATGTTTAGACTTTCTAAAAACCCGTCAGCAAAGGACAATGAAATAACTAGTATCACAGACATACTAAAAACTATACACAAAGAAATAAGTTAAGCACATTATTTCATTATTGTTTGGTCCCAATATTCGTAACAGTCATGAAAGATATAATTACGGAAAGAATTATATTTTCTCGAGATGAAGTAATCAGTCATGCGTGACGAAAGCTCACGTGCCATGCATGCTACGCTCGAGTATCTCTAAAAGCTGTATATCCAAACGTTAAAAATTATTTCTTAAGCTCGGTTTTAAACAATTATTCTATGACATTGGGTGACCAGGGCACATTTATCAAACGCCACAAGATGGCAAATAATCGGCATGCATTACGCAGGAATGTCTTGTAATGCCATTGGTCGGAATTTGGGGTATCATCACAGTACGTAAGCCGTTTAGTCGAGAAACATGCTCAGACCGGTGATGTACTGGGCCGTCCCAGATCCGGTAGATCTCCTGTGATGACACATCGCGAAGACAGGGACCTTCTTTGTCTCATACTCCGAGAACCCTTTTAAACAAGTACTCGTCTGAAACAGCAGTGGTTGCCCAATCGTCGTCTCAGCACCAGAACCGTCAGGGACCGGCTGAAAGCAGCAGGACTGAGAGCTAGGCGAGTCATAAAACGTCCCTTGTTGAGAGATCACCACAGAGCTGCTCGTTTAGCATGGTGTGTTGTGCGACAGAACTGGAATCTGAGAACTTGGAGACGGATCCATAGGTCAGACGAAAGTCGCCTTCTGCTCCACGTCACTGATGGAAGAACGAGAGTTTGGAGGCACCGGAACACGGCCTACACCCCCAGGAACATTAAACCGACTGTTGCATACGGCGGGGGCTCGGTAATGGTTTGGGGGTGTATCTCTCATGATTGCAGGTTGGATTTGGTCACCATAAGGGGCAACTTAACAGGGGCTCAGTACATCTGGGACGTTTTGAGGCCAGTCGTCGTTCCTCATCTCGACAACCACCCTCTTGCTACGCGACCTTAGTACATGGATGCCAATACCAGGCCTCATCGTTCGCATGCAGTCGAGAGTAATAACGACTCTAACCTGGCCAGCGATGAGGCCAGATTTGAACCCCCTTGAATATGTTTGGGATATTCTGGGGCGATGCATACATGCACGAGATCCTCCTGTACACGATTTACGCCAATTGGAGGCAGCATTGCATCAGGAGTGGTTGTTGTTGACCCATCAACAGATCCAACGTGTGACTGGAGGCATGAGGCGTAGGGTGGAAAGGGTCATCCGGGCACATGGCGGTTATACCCGCTACTGATCTGTTTCACGTGTCATGTCAAGTAGAGACCTTTAGGAACATTTTCACATGAAACATCAAATGTAACTCGTTTACTTAATCTTGCAGCTCCATACTTTTTATAGGTATTGTCTAAGGTAAAAAACAGTACCTGTGTTACCATGATGTCTTCAATATCTTCTTTATTTGTTGTCAAATGTGTGTTCTATCCGATGACATTATCAATATGATTACAATCATGATAATGACTCAATTATCGCCACCCTCTCGTGGTCAGTCATCACATGCGATGGTTTTGCCATTTGTCATGGTTCAGAAATAGGGGTGTGTTTAACTTTTAAACGATGTCACTATGCATAACACTATATTATAAAATCGAGCTTGAGATCGACAGCAACCAAAGTGAGGCCACAATACTGGGGACCGTGGGGACTTACGATATTTCTGCTTCCTGCACGGTTCCCCAGCAGGATTTACACCATCTCTTCATTCAAACAGGACATGCTTGGCTGTGATTCTCTCATCACAAGAGATAAAAAATGGAGGATCCTCAACTTTCAATAATTATTTATGTGTATATCTTCTATGGCCAACACGACATCGTTTTATTATGACCTCTTCAAATCTGGACTGACAACCCAAGCAGGTGTAGCCGATAGTTGGTTTTATTTCATGCAAAACATTTATACCTACTTGGGTGTCCCGCTTCTTTTGAACCATATCTCTAACGTAACATCTAATGACAGGCTTATGTATAGGATAAGATGTGGTGTCACAGCTTTGTTGAGTGCTGCTTTAGCCGTACTATCAGCCATTGTTACCAACAATTCCAACATGGCTCGGGAAAACAGTACACGATGCTGTATTGGCAAGTAGCTAGATCATTATATAATTCAACAATTTCGATTAAGAGTGGATGTGTATATGGCATATTTTTTATAGCCTAAATACACGAAAGAGAGTATGAAAATAGTATGAACTGCTTATGCTTAAATTAATTAATAATATACTTAAGAGCTGGCAATCAATGGCAATTGGTAAGTGGTCATGTGGTAACCTGGACGATACGGTTCTGGATCACAACAACTGCGTCACAATCCTTGGATCCATCAGTAAATATAGATTTGTATGTATCATATTTTGCTCTTAGTTGATTGTATTCTTGCTGATAAATGACTTGATTAATTTGTGATTTCTTTAGTTTTGTCAACGTCAGGTCTAAGTCTAGATTTGCCAGTTGCCAAGGACGCGAAGACGAAGTTTTTATCCTTTTTCCAAGAGGGGGAATAAGTTAAGATTTCTCTTGGCAAAGTTTCCCATAGACGGAATGAAAAAACGCAGTCGTACGGTGGATGACGCAGGATTAGATTGATTTGAAGATAATTTAGCGATATACTGTAAAGATACTTTTCATACGTCGGAGTTAAGGCGAGATGGAGATGTTGTGAAGGATCCTAGGCAGAGACTTAGTCCTTAATGATGAATATAATCAAGTATTTTAAGATTACTTCTGCATGCTCCTCTATAAACGATGGAGCCGTAATCCACTTTGGACGAATGAGAGCCCTATCTACATAGTTGGAGGAGGGTCTTCTGACCACCTCCCCACATTGAAACGACTTTTTATATGTCGAGCGTCAGACATTTGGCTTTAAGGTATTTTATATGGGGTTTAAATGTCAAATGTCTATCAAACATATGTCAATCTTGATAGGCGTGTCATCCAATTATAGTTCAGGATCGTGATGTGGCTTGTATTTTCGACACAAATGTAAACAATTTGGTCATTTTCTAGCAACCACTTTTTAAATTCTATTTGGAAATAACTGTAATTGTCTTTCTATTTCTGTATATTCTTACCCCGACAAAATATGTTAAAATCATCTTAGAAAATCTATTCATCTATAGAATCATTTAAAACCTTAGAGAGGCTAATTATCTTGTGGGACACCCTGAACCTGAACCTGATTATAATTATCAGACAGGACTGAGCCCACATGAAA